AAGAGCGACGCACCAAGGATGCTAACGAGGAGATTTTCCAGTCGCTGGTTATTGCCTGCTGCGACGTACGAATCAGACACTTGGATAGCGACAATTAAAATGGGACGAAAAAATATTGGAAGGTCAATTACACAAACACAGGGTGGGAGAAAGAGAGTTGGGGGGGGGGGGGTGCATGTGTTGGAGAACAAACGCCTGTCATAGCTGGAAGGGACTATGGTCAGTGGCCGAGACTAACCAAAGAAGGGGGGGGGGGAGAGTACTGTGACGAGATGTTAACTGCCTCGCCTCGTATACAGGAGGTCGTGGGTTCGATCCCAACCTAGACAGACGCCTGATGTACATTTGGAGTTTATGGTGTCCCCTCTACCCGTATGAAAAATAATAATTGGTTTAAGCCTTTCTGGCAATAAACAGGTGTTAAGCTTCGATTTAAAGCTTTCGTGACTGCAGGGATTCATCTTCTTGGTTCTTTCGGTAAAGTCACGTAGAAGGGAATATGTCTGTGGTTCTTCGCCTGAGGACGGCTGCTTGCGTTGTGGCCGAAACGTCGTGATAATTATTTAATTATGTTTTATTTTTGTTATTTTATTATTTCCCTTCTACGTGACTTTACCGAAAGAACCAACGAGTATGGATTCCTTGCAGTCACGAAAGCTTCAAATCAACAATGCACGTAGCATAGCATTCATAGCTCGGGGTGAGCAGCTACAACATGGGACCTTTTTTTGGGCGTTTAGAGTATTTGGCGACTTTAACTGTCCACGTTTATGATAAACAACTTGGTTGGGCCATCATTTGTGGCCAGGTCGCTGCTGAAAAAGTGCTACGTAGGCTCAGTGGGGCTTTCCCACCTGATGACGGACGCTTGTGTTGCGCCCGAAACGTCGTGATTTAATTGAGTCGTTTTCATTTATTTTATTTTTTACCTACGTGACTTTACCGAAAAAACAAAGAGTTTGAGGGCGGTTCCTGGTTGAAATAAAAACGAGTTTCGTCGATAATTTTAGGGGGACATCTCCCAGAGGATGGCAACAGCGAGGTGGGTTGTCGCACGGGGCGGACTGCCACGAGTTGGCGATGGTAGTGACTTTAATGACTCAACCGAAACAGAAGTAATGCATGTGTAGTACTAATCACTTTGCTGCATTTCCCATAAATATGCTAAATTCCTCTTGATATGCTAATTATTTTGTCGAAGCGCCCTTTCCCCCCCTCCCAACCCAGCTTATATATATGCTCCAAGCTCGTGTGCTGTTTCATTCAGACGCTGTCTCCCCGACAGAGCTGGTTTTCACCTGAGGACGGCTGCTTGCGTTGTGGCCGAAACGTCGTGATAATTATTTAATTATGTTTTATTTTTGTTATTTTATTACTTCCCTTCTACGTGACTTTACCGAAAGAACCAAGAAGAAGAAATAATGAAATCATGTTCTCGGGGCGTGTAAATCCCGAGCATGAAGTGCTGGGATAAAATGACGCCAACAGTGCATTGAAAGACCCCTTTAAGGGGTTCAATTTTCCACGGGATACAAATTAAATCGTCCTCTATTTCCCCATCCATCACCAAACTCTTCAGTCATTAATTAACTGAGCGTCGCTTCCGCCCACCCCACCCCCCACCCACCTCGCTTTTCACCCCACCCTGTAATTTCCACAGCACAAAATGGCCTCAATTATTAAACGGTGGCCTAATTACATCTAATGACTCTTTATTCACGAAGGCAGGAAGAGAAGGCGGGGGAGGCGTGGATGTGTGCGTGGATGTGAGCGTGGGGAGCGGTGGCGCAGTGGTTGGCGAACTGCTGCGCAACGAACCCCCTGCGAGCCGAGTTCGATTCCTGCCCGCGATCAAACGCCGTTGACGATTATCTGAACCGGTGTGCAAGTGTGTGCGAGTGTGAGTGTGTGCGAGTGTGCGTGTGGGAGTGTGTGCGAGTGTGCGTGTGTGAGTGTGTGGGAGTGTGTGCGAGTGTGTGGGAGTGTGTGGGAGTGTGTGCGAGTGTGTGGGAGTGTGCGAGTGTGAGTGTGTGCGAGTGTGCGTGTGGGAGTGTGTGCGAGTGTGCGTGTGTGAGTGTGTGGGAGTGTGTGCGAGTGTGTGGGAGTGTGTGGGAGTGTGTGCGAGTGTGTGGGAGTGTGTGCGAGTGTGAGTGTGTGGGAGTGTGTGCGAGTGTGTGCGAGTGTGTGGGAGTGTGTGGGAGTGTGTGCGAGTGTGTGGGAGTGTGTGGGAGTGTGTGCGAGTGTGTGCGAGTGTGTGGGAGTGTGCGAGTGTGCGAGTGTGAGTGTGTGCGAGTGTGCGTGTGGGAGTGTGTGCGAGTGTGCGTGTGTGAGTGTGTGGGAGTGTGTGCGAGTGTGTGGGAGTGTGTGGGAGTGTGTGCGAGTGTGTGGGAGTGTGTGCGAGTGTGAGTGTGTGGGAGTGTGTGCGAGTGTGTGCGAGTGTGTGGGAGTGTGTGGGAGTGTGTGCGAGTGTGTGGGAGTGTGTGCGAGTGTGTGGGAGTGTGTGCGAGTGTGTGTGAGTGTGTGTGAGTGTGTGTGCGTGTGTGCGTGTGTGCGTGTGTGCGTGTGTGAGTGTGCGAGGTTGTGGGAGTGTGTGCGAGTGTGTGTGGTGCGTGTGTGTGCGTGTGCGAGTGTGTGGGAGTGTGTGGGAGTGTGTGCGTGTGTGAGTGTGTGAGTGTGTGGGAGTGTGTGCGAGTGTGTGGGAGTGTGCGAGTGTGAGTGTGTGCGAGTGTGCGTGTGGGAGTGTGTGCGAGTGTGCGTGTGTGAGTGTGTGGGAGTGTGTGCGAGTGTGTGGGAGTGTGTGGGAGTGTGTGCGAGTGTGTGGGAGTGTGTGCGAGTGTGAGTGTGTGGGAGTGTGTGCGAGTGTGTGCTAGTGTGTGGGAGTGTGTGGGGAGTGTGTGCGAGTGTGTGGGAGTGTGTGGGAGTGTGTGCGAGTGTGTGCGAGTGTGTGGGAGTGTGCGAGTGTGAGTGTGTGCGAGTGTGCGTGTGGGAGTGGTGTGCGAGTGTGCGTGTGTGAGTGTGTGGGAGTGTGTGCGAGTGTGTGGGAGTGTGTGGGAGTGTGTGCGAGTGTGTGGGAGTGTGTGCGAGTGTGAGTGTGTGGGAGTGTGTGCGAGTGTGTGCGAGTGTGTGGGAGTGTGGTGGGGAGTGTGTGCGAGTGTGTGGGAGTGTGTGCGAGTGTGTGGGAGTGTGTGCGAGTGTGTGGGAGTGTGTGCGAGTGTGTGTGAGTGTGTGTGTGCGTGTGTGCGTGTGTGCGTGTGTGAGTGTGCGAGTTGTGGGAGTGTGTGCGAGTGTGTGTGTGCGTGTGTGTGCGTGTGCGAGTGTGTGGGAGTGTGTGTGCGTGTGTGCGTGTGTGAGTGTGTGGGAGTGTGTGCGTGTGTGAGTGTGTGAGTGTGTGGGAGTGTGAGTGTGTGTGAGTGTGTGAGTGTGTGTGAGTGTGTGAGTGTGTGAGTGTGTGGGAGTGTGAGTGTGTGTGAGTGTGTGAGTGTGTGTGAGTGTGTGCGTGCGAGTGTGCGTGTGTGAGTGTGCGAGTGCGTGTGTGAGTGTGCGAGTGTGTGTGAGTGTGTGTGAGTGTGTGTGAGTGTGTGTGAGTGTGAGTGTGTGTGAGTGTGTGCGTGCGAGTGTGCGTGTGTGAGTGTGCGAGTGTGTGGGAGTGTGCGTGTGTGAGTGTGCGAGTGTGTGTGTGCGTGTGCGAGTGTGTGGGAGTGTGCGTGTGTGAGTGTGCGAGTGTGTGGGAGTGTGTGTGTGCGTGTGTGTGCGTGTGCGTGCGTGTGCGAGTGTGTGGGAGTGTGTGCGTGTGTGCGAGTGTGCGAGTGTGTGGGAGTGTGTGGGAGTGTGAGTGTGTGTGAGTGTGTACGAGTGTGTACGAGTGTGTGCGAGTGTGTGGGAGTGTGTGCGTGTGTGCGTGTGCGAGTGTGTGGGGAGCGGTAGTATAGCAGCTAGCGCTATGAACCCGCTCACGGCCAACACCGGTGACGATTATCTGAACCGGTCCTCGGCTTCCCCTAGGTCGACTCAGCCTCAAATGAGTACCTGATGCGGTGTGTAGTAAACATCGCCACCAGGGAGACAAAGGCGGCCGGGCGTGGTGCTGGCCACCCACCACCTCGTGTGCCGCTGTGCCAGCCTTCATAGGTGCTCGCTAACAGCACTTGCCCCAACAGTCTGTTTGGGCTATACGGGGGGTCTTTGTGTAAGAGTGAGGGTTAGCGAGCGTTGAGTGCGGCCGCACGACGTCGGTGACGAACGCCGCGGCTGATCCCGGGGCCTCCCCTAGATCGACTCGGACTCAAGTGGCCTTGTCGAACATCTGCCGTGGCGTATGAACAACGGGAGCCGGGAAGACGGAGGCGGCGGTCCCACCTCGTGCACCTCGGCCTGTTCGAGGCCACGTGGGGGCATCTTCGTCTGCTTTCATGGCTTTATTTTGGTGATTTCGAAAAGTGTATTGGTTTGGCCATGTTTGTTTGTTGTAGTACAGAGTTAGACTGATGGCCTTAATCTAAGTTGTCTTGTGGTTGTTGTTGTTGTTTGACTTGCATCCCACTGGGATTTTTGCACACACCGTTGGTGTACGGTGCTTTTTTTCTGCAATATTTTGCTGTCTTTTCTTGGATTTTCTGTTTGCACTTAGTCATATATTCACTTTAAGATGTTTTTTGTTCTTGTTTTTGTTTTTTGTTTGTTGCGGTTGCACCCGATTCATAAGCCGAATGGCTCACAGGGCTCTACCTAATAAATGAACTTGAACTTGAACTTGCGTGCGTGCAATTGCGGGTGTTTGAGATGCAGGGGAGTCGGGTAAGTTGCGGCCAGGTTATGCTCGTGAAAGTTTTGGGAGGGGGGGGGGAATGTGTCTTTCGACCAGAAGAGACAGTGAATACAAAAATCCCCAAACATAAAAAAACGTAAACAAAAAAGTTGATACCTTGACCGGCGCCTCCACATCCAGACAACGATGCGAAAAGAAAAAAAATACGAGCGAGCGTGATTCGAGAGCGATGTACCGGCAGTCTTGGACGCATGTGGGACCGCGTTTGGTGACCTCTCGTTGCCGTGGTCAGGGGTCATCACCGCAAATTTCCCGGGAATGCTGGGAGCCGAGAGCATTGCCGTGGTAACCGTCGCTGTGGGAGATATTGAGAGCGAGGGAGAGAGAGAGGGAGGGAGGAGAAAGAAAAATGATTGTTTTAGCAAAAAATCTAAGTGGAAATGAAAAAAAAAATTCTGATGACAGCTTAATAAAGGTGATCTCTAACTTAAAAGTGCCCCGATTTGCAATCTAAGAGAATGTGCTCCGCTCTTCTAAAAGTAATTTGACATTTTTGCTTATGTGAATAAATGAGCATCTTACATTATTAATCTGAACAAAGAGGAAGAAAACCCATTAATTTTCTAAAATCAGGGGCATTTGTAAATTCTACACCGCTCTTTTTCGTTTCGCTCCACGTGATTTTTTTTTCCAAACTGAGAAACAGAGAAAAGGTCCATTTCCATTTCCGCTTAATCCCTCGGCATTTTCTCTCCAAGATTTTGTTTTCATTATTTTCCCCTTTTCCCCACCGACTATTTTCGTGAGAGCCAAACCGCGTCTCGTTCGCACGCGGCGAAATTCAGCCGCTGCAGGAAAATTATACAACCCGCGAATTAGTTACGTGAGTTGAATGGATCCGCGGCCGGAGATTTCACCCACGGCAACTGACAATTTGTCTCGAAACCGCATGGCTAACGAGGCCGGCCTTGCAAAGGACTGTCAAGTGATTTCGTCAGCACCCGATGTAACGAGGACGTCTCTCATCTCATTTTAATGCCCCCACCCCACTCCCCTAAAATAATGAAACAGATGCAGACAGGTGGCCGGGCTGGTGCCGATAAAACCCTGGGTTCGAATCTAGGCCGTTGCCAGCCTGCGATTAAACAGGCTTCTCAACATGTTCACCAATGACCGCACACACGCACACACACAGTTCAAGACAAAGATCCCCCGTATATAGCCTTAACAGACTGCAGGGGCAAGTGCTGTTAGCGAGCACCTATGAAGGCCGGGACGGTACACGAGGGGGTGGGTGGCCAGCCCCACGCCCGACCACCTTTGTCTCCCTAGTAGCGATGCTTACACACCGAACCAGGTACTAATTTCAGGCTGAGTCGATCTAGGGGAGGCTCAGGACCGGTTCAGATAATCGACATTGGTGTTGGCCGTGAGCGGGAATCGAACCCGGGTTGCCGCAGCGCGCTAACCGCTACACTACCGCTCCCTACACACACACACGCAACCACACACACACACACGCCACCACACACACACAAAAATTCACGTGAAGTTTTTTATCTGCATTTCATTTGGGCTGAACCGCAGCTCTTGAGTGTTCGAATGTTTTTCTTGTTCTGGTTGTCACGTGACGGACTTGACTCTCGTGTGGCGGACCAGAGGTCACTTGACGGGATCTCAAAAGCTAGTTCTGCGATATCCACTTCCGCGGGGGGCCGCATTGCACGAGGCCCAGCGCGTCTCGTGGTGCCGCGTCTCGCGGACGCGACTGTCGATGTAGCGATCGGGATGAAAGCGAGTCGGGCAATAAATAAATAAGTAATGCACACAGGGTGGTTAAAAAAAAATGTCAACACTTATACGGTAAAGTCACGTAGATGGGAAATAATAAAATAATAAAAATAAAACATAATAAAATAATTCTCACGACGTTTCGGCCACAACGCAACCAGCCGTCCTCAGGTGAAGAACAGGTCTGTGGTGAGAATTATTTTATTATGTTTTATTTTTATTATTCTATTATTTCCCTTCTACGTGACTTTACCGAAAGAGCCAAAAAGATGAATCCCTGCAGTCACGAAAGCTTTAAATCGAAACTTACACGGTTCTATCGTTTTTAGTTGGGAAAAGAACGGATAATACTACACTGTCAGGTGATAACAAATGTGATGTTAATAGCGTCACGAAGTCAAAGAGTATCTCCACTCGTTCGCCATCGTTGTCAACGCTACCCCTGGAATCTTCCCCAGGTGGTCTCCAGAGCAAATTCTCAGAAGTGTTAACATTTTTTACGAAGCACCCTGCATTACAAAGATGTTTCAGCTACAAGAAACGAAAGTTCACCTTAAAAATGTTGAAACAAATTGTGAAATAAAAAATAAAATAAAAAATGAAACGAATCGACACAACAGCGCACTGATTGCGCCACGGCGAACTTCAAGATCGGAGCCGTTAGTTTTATGGTGGTGGTGGTGGTGATGGTGGTGGTGCCGTTCTCCGCATAACAATTCGGCCGCTTGTCGCACTCCCATCGAGACGTGAGGACGATGGCAGTCGGAGGAAGAGAGATGGGGGTGGGGGTGCAACTGGCCGTGATTGCGAGCAAGGCTTTGCAACAATGACAACGCGTAACCTGCCGAGCGGTTTCAAAGACAATGGCGTGGATGTTGGGAGCACGTTTTGTTGTGCGCGGGGGTTTTTAAATCCTTTATATTAAGTTCACTTGCTTGCGCGCTTACGACCGTGCAAATATTTCGGTCGTTTTTTAACCCACTTCCCGTGATCCAATCGAGCTGACATTTTCCACACAGACTCGTTGTGCGTGACAATTTATTTTCGTGAAAATTTTTTTTCAAAATTTTACACTTTTTAGGAAACAAAAAATTATATGTAATTACCAATTGCTTAATGGTGGCAGGCAATCATCTGACCCATAGGTGGCAGCCATCTCAAGCCAGAGGACGAGAGGACTCTAGCCGCCACGCATATAAAGGATTTATAGTGAAAAACTTTGTTTTTACGGGTTAATTTTTTTGCGCGTGCTTTTGCCACATGTCCGCCGTGTGATTCATGCGGGCGTGATTCCTCTCGCGAGAACGGTATCTGTTTGGTGCTTTGAACATCTGAACGCCCATTGTAGTGCTAGCAAAGGGTAAAACTAATATTTTACATTTTCAAACTACCAACAACTTTACATTTCAAGTGGCCGTGGGCTCAAGGGCGGGAGGTGGTGGGGAGCAACAAGGTTGTGAATACTTTAGCAGTTGTGCGTATTGGGATCCTATGATGGAATGGGCATTATACATTTTAATTATAATTAATAGTAGCATTAATAATTTGAGTAGTGATAAATACAATTAGTAGTTGTAATACTAATACATTAGTAGAGAAAATAATGCAGAACAAACAACACACGGTGCATTCATCAGTACAGAGATGTATACTGGTAGGAACCTCCTGGTTCCACCAGCCCACAGGGGATTATTGTGTCCATCCAAAAATGGGAGGGGTGGGGCTGGGTGGAGAGGGTGGGGAGGGGCTGGGTGGGGAGGGAAGGGCTGGGTGGAGAGGGGAGGGTGGGGCTTGGGGAGGAGGGGAGGGTGGGGAGGGGCTGGGTTTGGAGGGTGGGGAGGGGCTGGGTGGGGAGGGTGGGGCTGGGTGGGGGATGGGAGAGGTTGGGCTGGGTGAAAAAAAAACGGAGGACCCGGAGAAAAATCCACGCGACCACGGGGAGAGAGAGAGAGACACCGCAAACTCCAAATATACAGCAGGCGTCAGGGTCGGAATCGAACCCACGACTACCTGTATACCAGGCGAGGTAGTTAGCATCTCGCCACTTTGATACCCCATCGATTAAATAATAATGTAATACTGCGTTACATGTAATTATAATAGACTCATCAATATAATTATCGTTGTTGTTATCAGCACAGTGTGCATCCACTGCTGGATGAAGGCTTCCTCATGCCACGTGTGGGTCACGAGGTTCTGGTTGAATAGATGTCATAATAGGGGGGTTAGTGTGCTAACCACTTTTCCCACCGCTCCACGCCAGTAATAAGGTACAGTATCAACATCGGCCATGGTCATTCCACTGCTGGATCAAGGAGCACATTAATTAGTATACAGGCGTTCCGCGTGCAGTTATTAGTCCTGCGCTGATATTAAATATAACGTGGGGGTGCTGCTGCTGGTGCTGCTGCTGCAAGCGGGCAATGTGCGTACGAAAATAACACTGGTCAACACCCTTTTTCTGGCATAAGGTATTCCAACGGTTGTAAGGTAATTTTGGGGTGCTGATTCCAAATCTGGCATCAGTTTTTGTCTTTCACATCAGGTTTTTGAGATATCAAATATTGCATTTTCAATAAAAACTGCAGAAGAAAAATATTAAATAAATGTGGATATCTACATAAAATTATATTATAAACACACTATCCTAAAAATACAGCACCATATTTTAACACTAAAGCAGTCACTGACTCGCAACAACTTGCAATCATAAGTGACAGAGTTAATTTTGGGTAAAATCAATGAAAATGGGGTATGCCGATAGCATAAAATGAGATGTGATAGAGCAAATCTGAGATCAGATTTGGAATCAGCACCCTGAAATTAGTCTAGAACAGCTGCAAAAGTCCAGGCCAGAAAAACATGTTTTTTGTTGTTGACCAGTGTCATTAAACGCATTCGTCAAAAACACAGTGGCCTGAAAATAAAATTAAGAAAAAAATGCGACATTTTGATCCCACGGCCCTTCCATGAAGAATGTGCTCTGAAAAAGGCGCTCTGAAGAAGGCACCTTGACCGAAACGTCGCCGATCAAACACACGGCTTTTTTTATGTATTTCTTTAAAGCCGCGTCAGTATCGCCGAACGAACGCGAACGCTCCGCGCGCCAACGGCAGAGAACCTTGACGCGTCTGCAAACGCGCGCGGCCGAGACATCTTCATTTGCGTGAGAACAGGTCAAACAGAGATAGGTCTGGTGGGGGGGGGGGGGGGGTTGGTGGAGGGGGTTGGTGGGGTTGGTGGGTGGGTGAATTAATAATGTTCACGGACACCATCCCATCAATAACGCGCACGCACGCGCGCCGCGGCCGTGACAATGCCATGCATTAACGCAATCATTAGGCGGGAGGGTGCCCTTCCATCTCTCGCCGCTGCCGCATTTGCATGGCTTAATTAAGGAGGCGCTGTAATGATGAAACACTCGAGAATGTCCACGGAAACGTGCTGCCTCGGTTGGGTTGGGTTGGCTGCTGCCGCCGCGGTGGTGGTGGTGATGGACGGCGAGGGGGGAGCGGTGGCGCAGCGGTTAGCGGCGGAGATCGATTTGCAAACGTCAGCGAATAT